TGAGGTAGATTTTCAGTCTGAAACATCTCCAGCCCAGTTAGAATCAGAGTAGGCCTGAACATCAAAAGAGCTGGGAGAGTAGGTCAGACCATGTCCAATAGTACCTTTAACAAAACGCAGCAGTCGTTTAACTACAGCAAAATGTCCAATGGTGGGAGCATGCATATGCTGGCAAGAGTGATTAACTGCCAAAGAAATATCTGGACGAGTTATGGTAAGGTATTGGAGAGCACCAACAAGGCTACGATAGAGAGCAGGATCAGAAAATGGAGCTGATGAATCAGGATCAAAGGAAGGTTTAACGGAGATAGGTGATGGACAGGGTTTACAATCAACTAAGCCTGCCTTACGAAGAATGTCCTCAGCATATTTCTGTTGGAACAAAACATAGCCAGTGGAAGTTGGTGTTATGGAAATACCCAAAAAATAGGACAAGTCACCAAGTTCTTTCATAGAAAATGCAGTGTGCATATGAGAGATGAGTGTTTGAATGTGAGAACCATCATTGCTTGTGATTAAAATGTCATCCACATAAACCAAAAGAGCAGTGAAAGTAGTGCTGGTTCGCTGGATGAATAAAGAAGAATCACACTTGCTATTATGAAATCCTTGAGATAAAAGATAATTGGAAAATGTAGAATACCAAGCCCGGGGTGCTTGTTTTAAGCCATATAAAGCTTTCTTGAGATGACAAACATGATGAGGGTAATCTGGATGAACAAACCCTGGTGGTTGAAGCATAAACACTTCCTCTTCAAGAACTCCATGAAGGAAGGCATTGGATATATCCAATTGTTTCAAGGGCCACTGATGATGAAGAGCGAGACAGAGCAAAATTCTGATGGTTGGAAGCTTAGCTACAGGACTAAAGGTCTCTTGAAAATCCACACCGGCTTGCTGCAGGTACCCTTTGGCCACAAGTCTAGCTTTGTGTCTAGCAATGGTACCATCCGAATTCCTTTTCACCTTGAAAACCCACTTACAACCAATAGCAGATTTGCCTGGGGGAAGACAAACTAGAGACCAAGTATGTTGCTGTTGCAAGGCATCAAATTCAGCTTGCATAGCCTTAAGCCAAATAGGAGAAAGAAGAGCTTCTGTATGAGATGGAGGTTCAGAATCAGAGTAGAGAGAAGAAGGCTTGGTATGAAGTAAACATTGAGAAAAGAGTTTAGAGCGGGTAATCATGGGATGAACATTTGTAGTGGCAGGAGGAAGTAATGGTAAGTGGACTGAGAGGGACTGATGGAAAGGATGAAGATGCGGTAGAAGTAGAGAGAGATGCTGGTGGAGTTGCTGGGGATGGAATAGGGATAGTAGACAAAAAGAAAGATTGAATGTGAGGTAAAGGAAGAGAAGAAGAGGTAGAAGACATTTGCTGAAAAGGAAAGACAGATTCATTGAAAAGAACATGTCTAGAAAGATAAATCCGGCCAGAAATAGGATCAAGACACCTGTATCCCTTAGCAAAGGGATGATAACCAAGAAACACACAAGGTAGAGACTAAGGTTGAAGTTTAGTGGAGGAATAAGGCTGAAGCCAAGGATAGCAGAGACAACCAAAAACCCTGAGAAAAGAGTAATCTGGAGGATGATGAAATAAAACATCAAAAGGAGATTGATGCTGCAGCTGAGTAGAAGGAAGTCTATTGATCAAATAAGTAGCAGCAGCAACTGCTTCAAACCAAAATTTAAGAGGCATAGAGGAATGATGAATCAATGCAACTGCTGTCTCTGTGATATGCCGATGTTTTCTTTCAGCAGTGCCATTTTGTGGTGGAGTGTATGGGCAAGAATGTTGGTGAAGAATGCCATTGGCAACTATAAAGTTCTTCATTTTATTATTACAAAATTCAGTTCCACCATCAGTACGAAATATTTTTAAAACAGTATCAAATTGTTTCTCAGCATAAGTTTTGAATTCCAAAAATTTGTCATAGACCTCACTTTTGTAGATTAGAGGATACAACCAAGTAAACTTACTAAAATCATCCACAAAAATCACATAGTATTTGTAAGTAGAAGAAGAATGAAAAGGGCCCCAAACATCACTATGAATAAGAGAAAGAGGCTTATTTACACTTGAAGTTGACAAATGAAAAGGAAAACGATGACTTTTAGCAACACAACAATCTACACAATCTTGAGTAGCAAGAGGTACAGATTTAAGATGCAAATGATGTTGAAGATGATGAAATTTTACAGAAGAAGGGTGGCCTAGTCTATTGTGCCAAATAGTAGGTGTCACAGAAGTAGACTTATCAGGAGATTTATTAGTACTAGTAACAAAAGCCTGTGAACAAACTGGGGAAGCAGCAGATGAAGCAATAGGTGGCATAAAATGATAAAGTCCATTGATGTTACATCCCTTGTGAAGAACTTTCTTTGTAATTTTGTCCTGAATCACAAAGTTAGACTCATCAAATGTTATGATGCAATGATTATCTCGAGCTAACTTTTGAACAGAAATAAGATTGGAAGAAATAGATGATGAATGAAGAATATTGTTAAGTCGAAATGAATGATGTGGAGTAGGTAAAAGTCCATTACCAGTGTGATTGATAGGGACAGAAGTGCCATCTCCAATAGTGACCTGATCAGTACCTTGATATGGTTGATAATAGGACAGATTATTGAGGTCATTGGTGATGTGATCAGTAGCAGCAGAATCTAGGTACCATGGGACTGATGAAGATGATGAGACATCTATAGTTGAAGAAGCAACAAAGGCCCTAGGAGCAGATGATGAAGCACCATTGGTATTGACATTAAGAGACTGATAGTGAGATTGATACTGAGAGTCCATTCGGTGCCAACAATCAAGAGCTAGATGACCAAAACCACCACAAATTTGACAAGTGTGAGAATTGTGAGGAGAATTTGGTGCAAATCTGCCTCTTCCTCGAGTGTAATGGCCAGAAAATCTGCCATTACTACCTCTATAATATCTGCCTCCTCTTCCTCCTCTGTAAGAGGATCTACCGCGAGAGGCATGACCGTGAGAGGAAAATGGAGAAGAAGTAGGAGAAGCAAAGCCTTTGACAGTAGAGAAGGCAATTGTTGGTTCAACCTTTTTAGTTTTTGCTTCCATGTGAATCGCTTCAGAACACAACAGAGAAGACAACTTTTCCATTGAAATACAACCAGATCGGGCTTGAATGGAGGTTTTGAAAGCATCAAATTCATCGGGAAGACCATTCAAGGTTAATAGGACAAGATCTTCATCGTCGATAACTACTGATGCAAGAGCCAATTGACTAACGATATCTTTGATTTTGGAAAGATATTCCTCCATTGATTCAGATGTTTTCAAAACAGAATTCAATTTATTCTTCAGTTGATGAATATGTGATCTGGAAAGAGAAGTGAATTTCTTGTGAAGAGCAGACCAAACGTCGGCACAGTGGTGAAATAGAAGAATAGTATAATAGATTGAAGGAGATAGAGTAGCATTGAGACAACTCAATAGATGAGCATCGATAAGCATCCATTGAGTGTGATCTGGATTGTTTACTTCAAGACCATCTCTATTAATGATCAAAGGAGAAGGACAGAGTATGGAACCATCAACATATCCAAGAAGATTAGTAGCACTGAGGATATTAGTAACTTGACTACTCCAAATGATGAAATTGGTAGAATCAAGTTTCACTGTTACAAAAGAAGATAGGTTGGAGATCAGAAGAGACAGATTAGATGGAATAGTGGAAGATAGAGATGATGTGGAAGCTGCCATGGAAGAATACTCGTTAGAGCCTCAATGCTCTGATACCATGATGAAAAGATGAATTTCTTATTTATTGCCCAATGTACAAGATATATTCATATATATAGTGCTACAATTATATCTATACAAGAGATATGTATCTAAAACACATGTGCTAATTCTGGTAACTGTGTAACTGTCTAACCATCTAACAAACTATCCAACTGTCTAACAGCTCGGCTTTATTGCTGAAACAGAATAGAGGCTGAGCTGCTATGCTTGGGCTTTGATGGCTGATGACTTTGATGCAATGTCCTCAACACTTATAAACCCATTCAAAACTTTCCACCAAATCAATGTGGGACAAGTCTTATTCAAACCTTTAAGGATTTTTCACCAAAACTCCATTTCCATGGAGCATACTTTGGCTTCAATTTCCCATTCACTCGGTAATGGTTTTGAGCAACCAAATATACCACGTGAATCACAACGCGGCATAGAACACGTTACCACTTTGACCCGCGAAAATTAACGCTCGGGATCCACCTAAAAAATAGACCAAATTTAAGAAAAATTCTGTTATAAACCCAGATTTTTCCAAACCATTTCCAACAGTAATAATATTGAGAAATTTATTAAAATGATAAATAATTGGGATATTTTGTCTTTTATTTGTGAATTTTGATTTATTCTTAATTTATTATTCTTAATTGAAATATGATGATGTAAAAAGTATAAATAGTTTAATTATACTTTTTAAAAATAATGAATTTATTATTTAAAATTAAAATTCATCAGACTGACCTGTAACTATGCCTTTAAATTTTTGCATTGTGATACTATCGGCAAACAGACAATAACAAGTTTCCCATTTTAGTATACCGTTCGCGTGAGGGCCCAATTATTAAAAGATGTGTTCAACCCATCAAATGAAAGCTGACTACTTCTTCCATCTCAAAATAATAATCTCTTTTGAAAATTTAATTTCTTTTTATAATACACATTTTAAAAATATTAATTTTTCAAAATTACCTTTTAATAGTACATTTTTTTTATAAATATCAATTGTCATAATTATACTTTTTGTATTATTAATGAATTTAAAAAAAAAGACAAAATAAGAAATTGATAGTATTTTAATAATTAATTTTTTTAAAAAAATTAATATTTTGAGATAATAAAAAATAAAATAAGATATTAATATTTTTGGTTGGTGGGTGTACAAATATTGACTACTTTATCAAGTTTCTTTCATAGAAATCAAAGCCTAATTAGATCCTAGCATTTGACTTTACCTATTGAGAGTACCATCGAAACAAATCAAGTTGTATATTCTTCTTTATTAGTTTCACATTGATTAGATTCATAAATCTCTCTCCGTCTCCATCGTTAAATGCTCTCCAAAGCTTTTGAGTTTTGAGAGAGAGAGAGATAGAAATGGATAGTCATATGAGGTTAACGTTGTTGGGGTGTCTTGTTCTTGTGTTAGGTTTTGTGAGTGGAACATGTGGTTTAATTTCTCACAATGTGATGAAAAAGATCAATGTAATAAACAAGGAAGGTCCGTACTTGGGCATTGTAGTGCCAAACAGCTTTGAGATGAGTCCTCTTCTCGAATCTCCTAGCTTTGTGGTTGATCAGAATCCCTACTTGGATTTTTCAGGTATTTATATATGATTATGTTGACCTTATAAAACTTTTACTTTGTGCTTTGTGCTTTGTTTTTTATTTTTAATTTCCACTTTTTTGGTTGATCACAAACTTCACTACTTGGATTTTTCAGATGTTATATGATTATGTTGACCCCATGAAACTTTTACTTGGTGGTTTTTTTTTTTTTTTTTTTTTGTTCTTTCCCTCTCCTAATTTGTTTATATTTGAAAATCCATTAAAAACATTTCAAGTGTTATATATGATTATGTTGACCTCAAGAAACTTTACTTTGTGGTTTTATCATATTTGTTTATATTTGAAAATCCATTATTCTTCAAGCTTTTTCTTTTCTTTTCTTTTCTTTTTTTTTATTTAAATTTTCACTTTTGTGGTTGATCACAAGCTTCACTGCTTGGATTTTTCAGATATAAATGATATGTTGACCTCATGAAACTTTTACTTCGTGGGTTTTTTCTAATTTGTTTATATTTTAAAACTCATTTAAAGATCTGTAAGCCTTTTTTTTTTTCTTTTCATTTTTAATTTTCACTTTTGTGGTTGATCAGAAGCTTCCCTATTTGGAATTTTCAGGAATTATAAGATGTGGTGACCTCATGAAAGTTCTACTTTTTGGGTTCTAACTTATTTGTTTATATTTTAACATCCATGTAAAGTTCTTTAAACTTTGTTTATTTATTTATTTTTAATTTGCCACTTTTGGCTAAAATTTGAAACATCACTCTGTTATTATCAAAAAGAGAAGCATCACATTATAAAGTCAGGAAAATTCCCCCTAGCATATATTAAATAAAATTTCAGAGCTGTTAATCACTGGTTGTGTTTCCATTTTTTGTTTCTTGTTTCTTGGAAAACATTCACACAAAAAATTAAAAAATATTTGCAAAATATTTTTAAAAAAATCAACCGAACTAGTTTAGTTTTGCCACCTGTGTGCACTTCTATCTAGAAGATCAGAAGTCAACCATTACTAAAGGCAAATATTGATAATTTATTCCCTATCACGCGCTCTTTGTTGTGTTGTTTATTTTATCTCCATTGTGGGACTCTTTGTTAAATTCGTTGTTAGGCTTTCTCATTATGATGCTCTTTGTTAGTATGTTTGTTGGATTTCTATAATTGTCGAATTATGATTGTACAGTTGTAATTTTTTTTCATATTTCTAATAGTTAGTTAGTTTATTTATTTTTGGTTTTCAGGAAACACACCTAAATGTGGTTTTTGCACTAAAACAAAAACAATGGGTAATTTCAAACTTTTCAGTGTTTTTGTTTTTGTTTCAAAACAAAAACACAAACGTGAAAAATACCAATTGTAAATTTCACAGTTTGTCCTAGAGTAATTAGATCACAATTTTCTTGCGGAAGTACTAAAAATTTCACTTTCTTATACTTCCTTTGATGCATTTTTTAATCACTATAGTCATTTTCACATTCATTGGAATGGTATGCATGATTGCTCAAGATGAGTATTGGGAATGGCTTCCATTGGAATGGTATGCATGATTGTTTAAATTGTTAGAAAACACTTTCTTCAAATCAAATTATTGAAACATTCTACTTTAGCAAAATTTCTTAATTTAAGAAATCAAGAACAAACCATAAAATTATTGAAGTCTTTTTTTTTTTTTTTTTTTTTTTTTTGGGGGGGGGCGGTGGGTTGAAAGAATTGAGGATTTTACGATTTTGCTATTTCACAACACTTGTAATATTACAACATTCTCATCTTTGTTTTCACAGGAAGACGGTTTCGCATGGGATTTTTAGGAAAAGAAAAGGTCATTGTAGTCATGACTGGATTGGGCATGGTATGTCAAGTAACATAACACTCTTTATTTCGATTATTATCTTCTATAACACTACTTGTGTTGAAAGTTTGTTGAAATATTTGTTTGTTTTTGTTGTGATTGTAGCTTAATGCAGGCATAACTACTCAGTTACTATTAAGTTTGTTCAAGGTGAAAGGAATTGTGCACTTTGGGATTGCTGGAAATGCAAACCCTGAACTCCAGATCGGGGACGTTACCATCCCTCAATCTTGGGCTCATACCGGCCTTTGGAATTGGCAGGTACTAAAAAAATAAAAATTCATGAATTGTACTATTATTAATGCAATAAGTGTGGGAGAATAGTACTAGAATAGCTGATAAGTCCTTATGTTTTCTTAACCATTTTTTTTTTAATTTTTTGATCTTATTACAAAACTATAAAGATCAGTATGCAAAATTAAATTAGGAAGGAATGGCCTTTAAGGAAATTACCCTTATCTTTTCTTGTTGTTTCTAATTTTTTTTTCTAGGCTGCATTTGGAAAGTGACTTTTTTAGAGGAGGGGGGAATATAAATTTTTTTTTTATTTTTTTATAAAAAATAAAGTAAATAGGAAGGAATTGTTAACTTTTTGTATGAGTTAAAAATTTGTTAGCTTTTTAACCCTATTTTTCTAATGACTTTTTGACATTTTAACTAAAATAACCACTTACAAAAACAACTCCTTAGTTCCTATAGTATGTTGCTGATTTTTTTTTTTTTTTAAAAAAAAAATCTTATTGTTTATTTTTTTTGTTTTTTTTGACTTAAATTTTACTTTAATCTCTATCATTTTAATCTAAACAATATTAACCTTAAACTTTAAGTTTAATATCAGTTTAATCATTATGTTCAAATTATTGTTGATTTTTGTACATGTACCCTTATGTGATCAAAATGTCTCAATGAATTTTAATATTCTATTTAAACAAAATGACCAAATTCTTAAAATCTAAAATTAAAATTGAAACAATAGGCACCAACTCTAATTTACTTCTTTTTCTTTTTTTAAATGCGTACAATAGCACATCAAATTAATGCACCAAATACTTCTTTTTTTTCTTTTTTTTGAAAATTATGTACAGAGGTATGGAGATGGTCCTGAAGATGAATTGGCATTAGAAGCCAGTGGAGACTACACAAGGAAAGTTGGTTACATTAAAATTTCCGACTACAACAATGACATCAAAAATGGGAAATCATCATCGAATAACACTCTAAACAACATTTGGTATCAACCGGAAGAGACATTCCCAGTGAACGGAACTCCAGAAGTTCGGCAGCATGTCTTCTGGGTTCCAGTAGACAATCATTACTTTTCACTCGCAAAAAGACTCGAGGCAAGTTTAGTCCTCTCCAAATTTCAACTTTGTGGTTTGCCAGCTGCTTATCCATGCTTCTTTGTTTTTTTTTCCCTCTTCTTTTGGCTTATAGTGATTTTTAAAAATACTTTTTACATCGGTTTATGCTAGGTGAATCTAATTTTTTTTTTAAATGAAAAAAAATTCATGGAAGACAAAACAAGTCAACCTTTTCAAGTTTTTCGATAAAATTTGTTATATTTTCATCTTTAGTGAATATTTTTAAAAAAAAATATTTATTTTTAGGATCACTTAGTCTAAATAGATCTAAAAAAAGTTTTAAAAAAATAAAAATTGCCAGAGTTGAAAATAACTCACTAAAGAAGAACTCACTTCCTTTGGCATCAACCAATCCTACCGTTCAACAAAAACCAATATGAAATCCTAAAAAATTTTAAAAAGAAAATTGTAAGAAAACATTAAAATTTTCCGCTAAAAAGGAAAATAAGTCAAATTTTGTCCAAAAAACTTGGCTTATTTTTTTCAATTTTTTCTTTTAAAAATTTAACGATTATCTAGTCTAAATGGATTTAAAAGGTAAAATATTTTGACATAAAGTTGAAGAAAATTCACTACAGAAAAATAATAAATCTAAAAATAACCGAACTTATAAACTGCAACCTCAAATTTGATGCTCGCAAACTAAATAAAAATAATAATTCTCATCAAACAAAATTTGAGAAACTTGTTTTCTTTATGCAGGGTATGCAGTTGGGAAGATGTGTAAACTCTACTTGTTTGCCAAGAACACCTATTGTGACAAGGGTAGCAAGGGGGATTAGTGCTTATGTTTTCGTCGATAACCGTTCTTATCGAGAATTTCTCTTCTCCAAATTTAATGCAACCGCCATCGACATGGAAAGTGCAGCGGTGGCACTAGTCTCCCACCAGCAGAAGAAGCCTTTCATTGCAATCCGAGCGCTGTCTGATTTAGCCGGTGGCGGTTCTTCTGTATCGAATGAAGCCGCTATCTTCGCCTCGTTGGCAGCTCAAAATGCAGTTGATGTTCTAGTTCAGTTCATTACTTTATTGTCTTAAAATTTATAGCTATCCTCTCTACTTTTTATATTTTTTTTAGTACTTAATGTTACACATGATCAATTTTCATCCAATAGGTCTATGGATATGGAATTCTTTTTTAGAAAAATACACAGATTGAATGTGGGATGAATGTAATGTTGTTTGCATTGCATTTTGTGCACTTTTTTTTTTTTTTTGGATAACTTTATATGTTTGTAGCATTTTTTTTTTTATTTTTTGATGTTTTTATGTTGTTAGATACAAATAATGCAGCAGGTAAAAGGATCTAAACATACCTTATGTGATAGAATTCAAAATGAAAAATCTTGTGGGTAAATCACGTACTTCACAACCATGAATTGAGAACACCCAGCAATGGAGTGATACAACAGTAATGGGAGAGAGCTAGAGAGAGAGTATCGGAAAAATTCATTCGTTATTTGATTCATCCCACATCCCATATACCGTATCAGATATATAGGTCAGATTCTAACCATCTATCCATATCTCTTGATAAGATATGAAAGATATAGATATTGACATGGTGGGTTATCCAAATAGGATAGTTATGAAAATTCAAATTTAAATTACATGGATAATTTGAATGGGTCACGATTCATGCCACATGAGCGTCCAAATCTAAGTCCAATACCTGGCCCAATTTCCAACATCTTCCACTCGCACATGAGTTGGCATGACACTGCCACACAATCTCCCCAAATATTGAACAATCTCATACTAGCCAATGAACCGTGCCACCGCTAAGAAACACATATATATGGGAGCTCTATACTAGAAACTCAAAAATGAGCTAGCATAGGGACATCAACCCAAAAAGAATAGAAATAGTGTCTCATATACCCCAGACCCATCTAATTACACCGGTTCAAAAAAACTTCTCTAATCCCTCAAGAGAGTATGTTTCACCCTCTCAATTCTTGCAATATATTCACACTCAATCTGCCTCTGATACAGAATGGTGTGAGTTGCCAGTAGTGAATATACAACAGTGGTGTAATACTAGATGCTCTTCTCTTTGCCCTTATGCCATTTAGTTTAGTATTGACTGCTTTCCCAATGATATCCTTTAAGGCCGAATCATACATGATCCCAAACAACATACCAAAGTAACAGAACATCAAGCCCTTACCTTATGACATAGTCAAAGGTCACAAAAAGGGTACATAAGTAAAAAGTCGTATAAATAATAACACGTAAGACTCATACGGTGAGGAAATAAGGATCCATTTTCTCACTTCATTACTCGGTCGCCAAGAACATGTAGTATGAATACATGCTACGATAGAGTAACTCTTCCAAAGAGTGACATCATACTTGATACACCGTACAGATCTTAGTCTAGTCGCTTTCTAGGCCCTAACCTAAATTTTCTATTTGCTCGCCTTCTAGACACTAAATGAGATCTCACATCTGGCTAATTATAACAAACACAACATGGAAAATTGGTACTAACATCCATGTTTGGTCTTTAACACAACCCCATTTTGGTTGCAACCAAGGCGACACACATAGTGGATAATTTAAGCTTCTCTTGACTCCAAATAAAATAAACCATTAGTCTCATCATTGCTCGCTCCCAAGCGCCAAGGGCAATTGCTTATGTGAGTGAGCCAATCTTGCCTGCTGACATCATCTGCTAATCATTATGACACAAACCATAATAGCATCAATATTCCATAATCACACCAAAAAAAAGAAAAAAAAGTGATCGATTGAAAAAACACAACCACAGTCTGTGTAATTCTAGATTCCAAACATAAGCCCTATCAGCACCTCTTGCGATAAGCATATATAACAAAATCTACCACGTGCACTTCACATAAAGTGATTCAAGATCACTACCTTTTGCGCAATTACCTCTCTAAATATATTTTGGTGACCAGTTTGCGTTCGTTCAAGCTACGCCCAACAAGCGCATTGAATCTTACAAAGGGCAAATTCATACACTACTAGTAAAGCATCTTATCCATAATCTAATGAGCAAGGTCAATGTCTAAACTACTCAGTTGACCATTTATCAAAAAAAAAAAAGTACTCATCATGCCGAATACGCTCACATAGCGTACTTCAAGATCCCACAACAAAAAGATCAAGGAATATGGGTCATTTGTTTCTCTTAAAGACAATCTAAGGATTCACTCAATAACTAAGGTTCTAGCTTTTACCAATAGGTAAGTCAATGAGTTTGCAATTTCGCATCTAGAATCATTCTAGGATATTCCTTATGTAAGTCATCAAAGACAAATCAAGAATTCTCCTTGAACAATCTCCAAGGATCGTACATCCGAGCATATAAATTACATCACCCATGTCCATTATGTCTAAAACAAAGGACTGCCAACCCTAGGTGGCGACAACCTTATAAATTCTTGACTCATAATGACTAAGTAAGTAAAAAAAACTTCTTTTGGACCATTGATCATGCCTCAGTGGTCTTCATCAATCATCGTTGGCCTGTCATGGCTCGACGAAATCTAAGAATCACTATTTGTATAACTGTTTTAGGCCGTAAAAGATTTATTGGAACTAGCAATCTTTTTGTGCTTCTAACTTTTCCTATAAAAGCAGAAGGTAAATCCTTACGGATCTACTTATCCAATTCTCCAATGAGAAGTTGGGTCATAACGTCCACAAATCAATGTTTCGAACTTATGTCAATTATAGCCTAAGTCGAAGTAACCTCACTCCCTGGGAGGAAGTTTTCTCATGGTCTACACCTTCCTCAATGGTGCAACTTTTCGGTATCTAGCAAGCTTTATGCCTCAAAAAATAACTATCCAAATCGCGCATAACTTTAGAATAGTTTCGCGTCATAATAGAAAGTCAACCAAATCCTAGAAATGGTTAATCCTCAAAGACTTTGTCTTAAACTGCGCAACATTGATCCACTTTTCTAAAGTAGGGGATTAGAGAGCCTTTGGCGTTATCCTAGACTCTTTATCATCTTGCAGAACAATCATGAATTTTTCCCTCTCAATCACCCAGTGATGATGTGGAAAAAATTTCACATTCGCTACCACGCAACTAAAAATGTAATGTATTATCCTCTAATGAAGTAATCCACTAGTAGGCACGCCGCTCCCACTATCCCTAGGATATTGGAAATTTCTTTCCATTCTCAACTAGGCTACATAAACCGCCATACTTAGAATTCTCTATCTTATAGAGTTCTAAAACTCTATTCGCGTCACTTTTACTAAGAAAACTTTATGTGACTTAGTTACACTCCCATAAAGTTGTTCATCTATAAGCACATGACCCAAAGGGTTTACACGACAGCATACAATAATGCGCTACATGACCCTAAGCGTTTACAAGACAGCATACAATAATGCGCTATAGAACTCTAGGTCTTAACTGCGCAACCTTATGAGAAGTAAAATAGAGATGAGCTGCTTGATGGTTACAGATCGCCCACAAATGGCTCTCTGCTAACCCATTACTTAAATGGAGTGTAAAAACTGATATGAAGGGCACTTAGTTAAGGATATAGGCAACAAACTAAAGTGCAATTCCTAATTGGGAAACATTTTGCGCCATCATCTATCTAACATAAACAATACTTAATTCCTTATCTCTACTACACCATTGTGTTGCTGAGTACTAGGAATAATCAATTTTTTAAGCATCAATTTCTCTTCACAGAGCTTTCTAAGAAAAACAACTCAAATAAATACTCGCCACCTTGGTTAAAACTAAAAGCACGAAAGCTCTTATCTAATTGATCTCGACCTCATATGTGCCATGTCAAAAATCATCTCAAAGCTTTTGACTTGCGGGAGATCAAATAGTCTTGACTAAGATGCGTATCGTAATCTATAAATGTGTCGAGATTGGAGCTAGATATCATACCCTTACACATATCCAGTCACAAATATCATAGTGGATTAAATGGGTCAATACAAATGCCCTTCTGCGGCTTTCCTACTTACTTGTGCGCAACCCTTGCGAACAAAGTTACACATTCACATGAGAGCAGGATGTTATAAGTGAGTGGGCCCGAGAGGGCCTACTCAAACCATCCATATCATCTTCTCATTAATGTGATTAAGTATAATAAGCCACCAGTTCATGACCAATGTCATAAACTATTTCCAATCATCCTAATGTGTGAGTTCTCAAAGACAAGTGTAAAGGTTTAAGCCCAACTAGGTAATGACTCACGACTAATTCATGTTCACTAGATCATAAAAGGATGTCGTGGAGATATCAAGTGTTCCTAAGTCGCAAATTTAAGTAGTAAGTGCTAATCCCCTATATCTTTAAGTCAATTTATTCTTCATACACTTTACTACATCTAGTTGAAATATGACGAAACTCCTCTTGCCATCTATGTTTCTCGCTTCATAGTTAGTTATAATTAATTCTACTATCCACAAGAATGAGAGAATACGCTATCAATAAATGACAGCTCCTGAAGTAACTTAAGCGCAAATTAGGCTAAAGAGTCTAATTCAACACAATGCTCTTATGAGCGATGCATCAAATTCTTAGAGTCATAACAACCTTGTCGACTTTGACTTTTTTATTATTATGCTGCAACTTTTGCGGTTAGTGGTAAACGTCATTCAAAAGCATTAGTCTAGCTAAGAGATCATACAAAAAAGCACATTTTCATGTCTCACACTCAAGTTTGGAAACAATAAGGGTGTGTTTGGTAACGTTTACGTTTTCAGTTTATATTTATAAAAATTTTATAAACTGGTTTCTGTTTATTTTTTGTTTATTTTTAGAAAAACATAAACTACAAACGCGTTTAGTAATTGACAAAATGTTTTAAAAATTTTAAAACTATAAAAAGGAGTGAGAAATGGCAAGTTGTAGCAAGTGGCGGCAGAAGACGGTGGTGAAAAGTAGTGACGGTGGGTGGTGGGTAGCTGGTGGCGGGTGGGTGGTGGTGGCAAGTGGTGGCAGAAGACGGTGGTGGAAAGTGGTGACGGTGGGTGGTGGGTAGCTGGTGGCGGGTGGGTGGTGGTGGCAAGTGGTGGCAGAAGACGGTGGTGGAAAGTGGTGACGGTGGGTGGTGGGTAGCTGGTGGCGGGTGGGTGGTGGTGGCAAGTGGTGGCAGAAGACGGTGGTGGAAAGTGGTGACGGTGGGTGGTGGGTAGCTGGTGGCGGGTGGGTGGTGGT